TGCCATTATTAGCCTTGTCCATGGAAGGATTCAGTGGCACATGCAGGAATGTAACTATTGATATAAAAAAAAGTTTTCTGTGCTATCAAGTTATTAATAAGCAGTTCAAATGAAAAAGCATTAGAAAATAATATCCAGTCTTCCAATTATACAGCTCCAACTTTTCAGAACATTAAAAAATGGCATATGTAAGCACCCAGGCCCATAAAAACATCAAGCCTGCAGTCCCCAAAGTCCTGAAATTAAGGAGAGAGAGTTAAAAATGGGGTTGCAAAGTGTTGGGGCTGTACATTAAAGCACAGGCAGAGTGTTGGAATAAGAAGGGTGATGAACTGGTAAACTGATGAAGGGGAGTTAAGGCTGCTAACCAGAAATGCACGTTAGAGACAAGTCAAATCCTTCTTAATTGAAAACATAGAGCAAAAATTAAAATAAAAACAACAACAACAAAAAACCGAAAACCAACAAAACACAAAACAAACAAATCAAAACAAACAAACAAAAAGCAGAAATCTTACTGTAGGAAGAAAGGGGCAATTTGTGGAAAATGGAAAACATTCTTCTTGAAGGCGGTGAAGAATGATGAGTGGGAAAAAGACCCAGAATGGGATTTAAGTAAAGAGATGTATAAGGAGCACAGGCTGTTATTCCTTATGCCACCATCGCCCCCAAAATCAAAAATTAAAGATTTCTTCCAGTTGTACACTAAAGCAAATAAGGCAAAACTTCAGCTACTTAATTGGCATCAGTTTGCTGCTCCTGCACAGATGAAAGAAGGCGAGAATCTGCCCTTTACAAAAGCTACAAAACCTATAAGATCAGTAGAACCTATCCTGCAGTGCCCACAATGCTCTCTCACACAAAGCCACCATCTACAACCCGAAAAAGACCTGGTATGAAATATTAGCATTCAATAAAAAAATCATTATTTGGGCCCTTAAGTAGGCCCTGAAGTAGAAGGCTGTGGTGAAAATTTATCAGGCATTTTTCTTCAAATGGAATGTATGCTCCAGTACCCTAGGAGCTCTATAGTACATGAAATTTTAACAGAATTGTTAATGTCTTTCTAGGTTTTAGAATACCACAAAGAGATACTCATCGTGTGCTTTTACCACAGCAGATAAATGCTAATGCCTCCAGTACACAACACTTTCACAGTGGTTTGAATACAAGTCATCTTCCACTCTCTTGGTGAGCAAATTAATGGCATCAATAAATTTTTCAGTATCTCCAGATAAAGACTCTTTACCTTCACAAGCCTGATCAGTAAATTCCTGATGTACAGAAGGGATCACAAACAACTTGTTATGTGGATTCCCTGAAAGGTTAGTCTGCTCTGAGAAACAGAAAATGTCAAAGGTCTGGGAGTTTTCAGATGTGAACCCACGCCCTGATATGGGAAAGGTTTGTGGAAGATCCTAAAGGTCAGATGTGAGGGTCACCCTTATCAACAAGGTCATATGTTAAATTAAACTGAAACCAAGAGGAGTTTACTCCCTGGAACCACAGCACTCTGATTACAGTAAATGTATCTTTAAAGGGCAAGGAGCTTTAAAAGTGATGCTTAAAAGCGTATTTACCAGAATAAAGAAATATGTACCTTAAAGAAGTTGTTCTTGGGTAATTTCCATAAGAATTTCCAGTGACTTGAAAGTTAAAGATACTTACAAATGAAAAAAAAAATCTATTTGTAGCTATTCATCTTTGGTTCCCTCTGATTGGAAATAATGATTTCAGTAGAGATTGGAAAATAAAAACCAACAAAAGAAACATAGCTTTTCTGCATATTTCAAACTGGTAAACTTTGTATTTACTTTTGTTACAGTCAGAAATTTTTTCTAATTTTATCTTGTGACATTTTGCTTTGCTTAAAAGAAATGATAATTCAGAGCCTTGTTATCTTTTAGAAGAGATACATGAGAAAAAGGCCATTATCTCTCTTTACAGGGGGAACGTGCAGGCACTAAAATACACCCTTGCCTTTGAGCTAAACAAACCTTGAGCAGACAGACACGGGCTTAGAGCAGCTTGAGAACAGAAGAGGAAATTCCACCAGAATTACTTCAGCCCTGTCAGGTTTTTGGTTTTGTTTTCATTTTAGGAGGAGGTTTCAAGCATGTACAACCTCCCTTCACCCTCCTCCTACCTGGGTTATCTGACAAGTTTGAGCTCCTTTATCTGCAGGGCAGCTCAGTGCCCTGCTTCCCATCCTTCCCTATCAGCTGTGGCAGCTCTGATGCTCCTCCTGGAGGCACACACTGTCCAGAGAGGCCTTCCCTTGGGATAATGGGATGCATTTCCAGCAGCTGAGGCTGCTCCCCTGTGAGCAGCACTGCTGCAAACACAGCTGGAGCTGAGTTGGTGCAAGGTGGGATGCTGTGGGGGCAGGGATGGTGCCTCACCACCAGTGCTGACACCGTGGGATGTGTGGGAAGGAAACTCCACTCCCCAGGACCATTCCAGCTGCAGTTTGCTCAGGGGCTGAGTATCACCTTCCTGGTAGGTGCATCTACCTGGATTCATCCATCCTGATAAATCTGAGGAAAGCTGAGCTGATTCAGAGTGCTCGTCTCAAGTCCAACACCACTGAACACACTAAAACAAGCAAAGCCCCAGCTCTCATTGGAACACCATTCCCATTCCCCCACACCCAGGGACACTGGTGAGATCTCAGGGTGGCAGAAAGCAAAGCACTTCCCTGGGACACACCACCATGGAGCAGCTCCTGGGCAGGGTGAAGTGCTTTGCTTTGACTCCTTCTGAAGTTACACCCTTCCAGGAGACTCCAAGGAGGACAGGGCAGGAGAGAAACCCAAAGGAATGGAGTGGCACCTATCTGGGTTCCACACTGGTGCAGCGAGCTCCTCATTCCCTCTGCACAGACACAGGGATGGAGGACACTCTCCTGCTTTCTGTGATGTTATCACACTGCTAATGATAACAAAAGCAACACCTTCCCTTTTAAAAAAAGCAGGGTTAGACAAATGGTCAGGGAAATAAGCTCATATTCTCCCTAGGGCCAGGTTTCAGTATTATTATGCAAATAGAAATTGTCTTATGCTATGGATTCACCTGAGGGAATCAGCCCCAGAATCTGAAAACCAAAGGATTTCTCAAGGTGAGCACAAGCTGCAAGTTCTGCCCTAAGGTTTGGTGCAGTTTTGGAGGTCAGGCTGTGCTTCTCCAACTCCAGTCAAGACCCTCTCAGGGATTCTGTGGCTCCTTTCTTTAAAAAATCCCACAGTTTTTCATGGAACTGGCCACCTCCACCAGTAACTCACAAGAAACACTTTTGCCTTGCAAGAAGCACATCACCAGAAGATAACTTACTGATTTATTTTGTAAACGTTGTGTTTTAGCTAACATGGAAGCCTGATACTGGGAATTGATGGTTTCTCTCTTGATGAATGTTGAGCCATATATAGGCCAGTGTTATGAGGCTCCCATCACAACAAAAGGCCCCTTTTATTAATGGCTACTTTATCATTTAAAACATGCATGTTGTTACTTAAAATGGCAAATTGCTTTGCACTGTCCTTGAAGTGCATTGCATAAATATTGTATTCAAGCCCTTAGCTTGCACTTCATAAATAATTTATTTTTAAAATACCCTTCCATGAGACCACCAGCTGGCAAGATGTTCAATTTTCTGGTAAAAACATGTATTTATTGCAAGTCTTATTTTAACTTGTTGAAGATTTGCTAAAAGCCACAAGTGACAGATGTTGTAAGAACTGTATTCAACCCAAAACCTCAGGAAGTTGAAAGCCTCATTCTCCTGGTAGGTTTTGTACCTCTGCATAAGCAGTTTCCTTTGCAGGAGAAAAGCTGAAATCTATTCAAGGAAGCTTTCAAGTACCATTTTCTGATAACCCAAAAATGACTGATAGCAGATTATGTGATGATCAGAAAGGTTTATAGATTTCATTACATTTCTTTTCACTACAATCCTTCCTCCACCATTTCCATTTCATGTTGCTGCATTTAAACTGCTGTACAAACTTGTTCAAAGTGCTCGACATTAAAAAAAAAAAATCAAAGGAAATTTCAGATAATTAACTTTGATGAATGAGCATATTTTAATTCATGTCTGGTAATATTCTTGTTAATGACATGTCTGCTTAGGACATCCATTAAAAGTCCATTAAGTTAACAGGGAAAGTCTAATAAAGTTATCCTGGAAATTTTCTGGTATATTAACGTTATGGACTTTTAATGAATATCTGCTGTAGGAACTGCTATTAGCAAGGCTACTATTCTAATTAAACTTGGGCTCTGAGAGTGAAAAAAAATGTATAAAGATAACAACAAGCAGAAGTAGCACTTCTTTTGAAAATGACTATAAGGGAGATGGGTACAGGTCACAAATCAGACTATCAATAAGAGCTAAAAAATTACTATATTGTAGCTTTTTTTGTAGCCTGATATCCAATATACCCATATAGAGTGTGTCCTTCACGTCATCAGTTGCTGGGGCTCCTTTTTACTCCTCTATTGTTGAGACTGAGCAGAACAAAAAGGCCTTCCAGGGCAGGAGATAAAAATTTAAACACAGTTTCTCACAACAATGCCAAATAAAAAATGCACTTAGGAAATCTGTTCCCTATGGGCATCTCAGCAACCCATTTGAAGCTGCTGACATTCACCATAATAAAGCAAAATACCTTTTTATATGTATGTATCTTTTATTCAATTAATCTGAGAATGGGTTGGGAGGGACCGTAAAGCTCATCTCATTCTATCCCTTTGCCATGGGCAGGGGCACCTTTCACTAGACCAGGTTGCTCAAAGCCCTATCTCATATATTTCTGTCTTTTACATATATATATATATATACATATATATATATATATATAAAGCTTTTAATTAATATGAATAAATATTTATATATATCAATATTACTATATATGTATATTAATTAACATATATTTATTAATATGCATATATGTATATTTATGAATATGAATCTATATTTATATTAAATTCCAACCCTGATATACCTATTTTTTCATACTTATCCTTCACCAAATCTTCCAAACCAATCATTTTCCAGAAACTGTCATCCCAACCTCTATCTGACGTGTATGTCCACTTGCACACTACTGTACAGAGAGACCTAAAAAAGAGACAATATAAGCACAAAGTCAGGCAAATGAAGATGTTTGGGTTTAAACTTGTGACTAGAAACAAGTTCCTGCAAAAGGATCTCCTCTCCATTGGTCAGAAACTCCAGCAGAATGCTCACATTAAAAAAAAAAACTGGTTACTGTTTGGAGTGCACGTCTTGAGGACCTTAAAAGGACCTTGTGTTTAAGATTCTTCTCTGCTGAAACAACTCCTGGTCTGGCCACTTCACTGCATAAATCAGTCAAATAACAGGCTGTGCATGTGCCTGGGGGAGAGCAGGGCAGGAGCACAGCAGCTCAGAGCGCTGCTCCTCCAGCCTAAATGGCTGCTTTGCACAGTCTGTCCTTAGGAAAACTTGGTGTTACTTCTCTCACAACTGAACTGCAGTTCCCAGGAAATCTGGATGATGGGGACAGATGCACAAGTCTGATTTCTGAGAAGCTGATGTAAACTCTGCTGTGCCAGGACAGCAGCAAGGGGCACAGGCAGGAGCAGAAGGACACAGAGGACAAGAACTCTCACAGCAAAGTCTGTCCTAACACACAGAATGGTTTTTATCAATATCCCCAAATATATTCCTCCCCAAAGTAGGAACAATATTCCTGATGTTTAATATTACATAGGTTGTTTTCTATCTGAACACTAAGAATCATCTCCAAAGATCAGTACTAAACTGTGCTTGAAAAGTCAGTCAACTAAAAGGTATTAAAAATGCTAAATATCACTGAAAACTGCAGCTCTGTGCAGTCCTGGGAATAGCACAGTACCAGCAAGTGCAACACAGCTCAGATGCATTTTGGGGAAACACATCATCCTAACTGTTCTCAAGAGAAATCCTGCTCAGAGGTGGATTTTCTTTGATGTTTTACAAGACAGCTTATTTGTGACTCATGTTTAGCCAAGGTGAGCTTACACAGACATATTCTCTTCATTAGGATGGTACAATTTGAACATGTATCTTCAAAGCAAACTCACTCTGACTGAAGCACTTGAGTTTTTCTTGCAGTTTTGCATAAGTAAAAGCCAAATAAAATTTCTCTCTTCAAAATTATTTTCTGGAGTGAAAGGAAATCTTCCCTTTCATCCAAGAATACTACACTTGGACTGAAATATGAATCACAGAATGGGTTGGGCTGGAAGGGACCTTAAAACTCATCTTGTTCCAAACCCCTGCCATGGGCAGGGATATCTTCCACTAGCCCAGGTTGCTCCAAGCCCCATCCAACCTTGCCTTGAGCAGAAAAAGAGAAGCTATTTTTATTTCCTATCTGCAAATCAAAGTTAGAGCTTATAGCCACTGATACTGCAGACAGAGAAAAGCCAAAGAACAACAGGAAGAGTCTTTCCACACAGCTGGAAAACTATCTGCAATATCTATTTTATGTTTAAGGGAGTTACAACAAGAAGCAACATCCTCTTATGTGACACTGAGCAGAAGATGGGATGGTTTCATGGACTCTCTAAACTCCCACTTTCTCATCTGAGACTGAAATGTGTTTTTTAAATGCATTATGTTCCTTTCCATCCTGTTGTTCTGGAGTTTTTACAACCAGAGGACAAGTGATGGCCATTCACATCCCACTGGTTGTAAAGGTGTGCTGGTTGCTCTTTGCTGCAAAGAGAATAATTAACATGACATATTTTGGCGGGGGGGGAAAGACATTAGTTAACTATTTATATCCCTATAAATAAATGCAGTCAATAAATGCAGAGATTATTTCAAGACTACTCTTAAAACATCTCTGACACCCCCACACCCTTTTTTTTCTTCCTAATAGTTTAAGAATAGACCACACAATCTCAACTCAGTGTCTGGTTTGAAAACACAAAAAGCACATTACCTCTAACTACAGCAATGACAATGTTGATATAAGGAATTCCAATTTCCAAGGATTTAAAAGCCAGACACAGAAATCTAATTAGGACCTTTGACAAAAATTGGGTGAATAAATAAATTCTAGGCTGAAGAAAATACTGGGAAAAAATAAACATTTTCCCCAAATTGGTTCAAACCTCTCGTTAAAAGGAAAAATAAAGACAGGGTATTTGAAATAAAAAGCACTTCATCAGTTTAGGAAAAATTTAGACATAAAGAGCGAAAAACAATGCATCAAGTTTTCCCAAATATGGGAAATACCAAATCATAACAAATTATCATCAAAACCGAATATGTCTTTTTCTAATTAGGTTGAAGCTCTGAACTGATGCCACACCCTGAGAAAGGCTCCAAGGAACATGTTCTAACCAGGGGCCTGCTGTCCCACACAGCACACACACAGGCCCATGGAATCACTGGGGATGGGGACAGATCCCCTCCTGCCAATCCACAGAATTCCAGCAGATCCCAACTCTCTGGCAGGATATGGCTGCACTGAACACATCCTGGAGATGCATAAATGCAAAGTGCTCACAGAACAAGGATAAACAGAGGAGTTCTGGTTGAATTTTTAACACAGTATGGAAAATGAAGTGGGAAAGACAACTCTTCCCAAATAAACTGGCTGGCAGATCCTTAAGTGGAAGGTTCTGGTATGAAAACCAATCTCAGATCTGAGTTAAACACTAACACATTATGTTGGCAGGTTTTTATTTTCATGGCCACAGCAAGAAACTCAAAATGCTTGTTTTAAACACAGTCTGAGCATTTACAATGCTCTGGGATTCAATCTCTTTCTTCCACTCTTGCTGCCTCTCAAAAAGTAGGTGTTTAATGGAACAATATGGCTTCATACAAATCCCTGTTATGAAAGAGAAAGTGTCATACTGCAGAAAGGCATTCTGCTCTCAGAGATAACAGTCCAAATGAAAGGGTTTCTTTGGGATGGCCATGATGGATTAACATCACCACACACTTCAAAAGCATCTGGATGGGTTGAACTCAAAGCCCTGCCCCTCACCTGATGAGGGGCTCAGTCTGTATGTCCTAGAGAGCTCTGTGCACATGCAGAGAGAACAGCTCATTCATGGCTTGCCACTGCTGAAACCAATGGTATACATGCAAATAATACATATTTATTTATATATTTATATATATTAACTTGATTGGAAATCACTCAGAAATTCTCCCCCAGAGAATCACCCTGTAAAGGGGGTAGCACAACTCCTAACTCGGGAAAACTCTAACCAGAAAGACACTGGGAAAGAACCACCTGAGGAACCAAATCAGTACACCTACAAAGAAAGCCTCAGCCATGAGAAAATTTTATATTTCACAGAACTCCTAAGTTTGATGAGATGGAGGGCAGACATTAAACAGAAACAGCACTGATATCTGCTGTGGTATATTCAATTTTTCCTATTTGGCAGCATTGCCTCAATTATTTGGTCATAAACACCAGACTTGTGCTGGCTGAAGCTGGATGAACCAGATGGGCTGAAGCAGAAGCTCCTCTTACTTTACTCCCAGGACCAGCTGGGTTCAAAGGGGCAGAGAAGAGGCAATCCCAGAGGGAAGAGCCCTCTCCTGACTGCCTGATCCACCACAGGATTTGAGGAGCCATACATGGAACCCCTCAGTAGCACAAGCCCTGTGTAGCCAGTCTGAAATACCATGAGTTTGGAGACACTTTTCCTCAAGCATATTCCCAGCACAAAGAAATGAAGGATTTCCTTTCTCTGTTCAGAACAAAAAGTTTTGCTTAGAATATTCCTACTGAAAAAAAACGCCAACCGTCGTGCATGGAAAATTTTTATTTTATTTAAACCAGATTTTTCACAGGAAAATGATTGTGTTTAGAGTTTCCTATGAGTTTCTTGCTGAGGACTAACTGGATGTGCTGAAGTCCTGCATAACCAGAATCTCAGCAGTCTTAAAAACACAGAGAGTCTGTGAACACACTTGTAATTCCCAAAATGCTGTCTGGAAGCAACTAACCTGTAAAAGGGTCTCGGCCAACTGGACTTGTGATCACTCAGGTAATCAAAATTTGTTTCTGTATGACTCTTCCCATATTATCTGCCCATTCTGAGTATTTTCTCTCACTCTGTTGTACTTCATGGAGAGAAGGCAATCAGATACATTCACTGAAAATGGGAATTACTGCACGCTCTAAGTTATCGGCATAAAAAAGTATCCAAAAGATAAAAGTCACAAAAAACATCTCCACAACTACTTAGGAGTCACCAGAGCTTTACACTTTCTTTGTTGCCACAACTCCCACACTCCAAAAGGGAAAAAGACAACACAGATATGATTCCCAAATCTGCAGAGAACCTGCCCTGCCTGAAACAGCACCTGCTATGAAAATAATCCTGGGAGCTACTCCTTAACTGCAGTTGTCTTGCAGAAGTCATCCCTATTTTGAGTGTAGGTTGATGGTAAGTCCTATCAACTAAAAGTTACTAAAAGAAACAGGTTTTTTCTGAAAAGTGACCCCAAATAAGGTATTTCTACATGACCTTCCATTTCAGAGGGCTGGTACAAGATTAGTTATCCTGGAAAATGAGTCAGCCACCAGCTTGAAAGGCAGAGAACCCCTGGCTGGGGCATCCTGAGGTGAATGGCAGCTTTGTTCTCAATTCCAAAGCAAAAGGATCTGCTCCATTCATCCCAACTGCTCAGAAATGAACCTAAACTCATGAACTTAATTAATTTTGTAGGCATCATTAGCAGCGCAGCAGTTCAATCACTGGATCACTGAACTAAAGCCAGCTGCACCTGCTGAGGGCTGTGCCAAAGCTAAATCCTCCAGAAGCAAGGATAGAGTACAGCTAGATCCCAAAAGGAATAGCATGCACCGGGATAAAGTAGCTCTCTGTGGTCTGTGGGGCAGATTTATTTAAAGCTACAAAGAATTAAAAGCTAAGAAATCTTTATGACGTTGTGAACGTAAGCAGGAGACCAGAAACAATGGAGTGTGACTGTCACAACATCAAATGATTTTTCTTTTGTTCTACAAAGTTTAAATTTAAAACAGATTCTGAATTCAAATTGTAAACCAGGGCATAGATTCTGCTCAAATGAACGTCTCCACATATTGACATCTGGGC